CTGACTTCAACCAAAAATTACAACAAAATGACCAGTCAGACTTCCAAGGAAATGTTAAAATACTCAAAGGAAGTGAAGCGCTAACAAATCGAAGCAAATAATTAAATAACACATCTGTAATTAAGAATTGATTTTATGTTTAGTATCTGGGCCATATTTCTGCTTCAGTCGACATGCTATATTTGTTGTTGAGATTGTTCCTCTGGGAGCTGGTGCAGCAGTGAACAAACCAGATGAGTAAAAGACAACTGAGGTGAAAACAAGGTTGGAACACCTGGACCAAAGCGCTGAGATGTAACACATTATTTAAATATAAAACCTGGGCTGTCTTTCAGGATTATGCAAAGATAACAGTTTGAAAAAAAAAAAAATAAAATCATGGTGAAAAAAACAAAACACAATAAAAACAAATGCAAAAAATTGTTAAAAAGCAGCATTGCACAGACTCAAAGCTCATTTCATTTAGCAAAAATACAAGATGAGTATTGCTGCACTAAGCTTCTATTTACCGTTCTGTGTATTGTTTTCACCAACGTTACTCCAATGTGCACCAATATTTAAAGTTGCAGCATTTCAGCTTTATGTCTAGAGGTCAAATGACAGATTAAACTTAAAATCCATCCCCTTTATGTGTAACACATGTGCTTCTCTGCAGGCACTATTATCCACTCCTGCTTCCCCAGCAGTAAAGTCACATGTGGGGATTTATTAGCTAGTTATAACCAAACTCCTGCTAAGCTGGCTTATTGTGGTGTTGCCGATAGCACAAGATATTTTATGGGGGCTTCCATAAATCATGCTGAAAGCAAACATACAATGTTGGAGGTGGAGATTGAAGAGGCAGTTGGAAAGCATGAGATGGTCAGCAAGGAATGAGCAAAAATATGCTCTGCTTAAAAAGCCATTTGTCTCTAATGCAACACCCCAGCGTGAAATGAGTTTGATGGGTGAGAAAATAAAAAAAATACTGAGCAAACACTTCTGAGAAATGTGGGTGACCTTAAGGTTGCAGCTGATTTAACAGAAATTATTAGCCTTGGGTGAGGATGTTTTTTTGTTCTTACACTTAAGTGATTAAAGTAACTTCCATATCTTCTTCTAATTTGCTTTTAAATGAATGAAATATAAAATTTAAAGGAAAATTCTAGTCAGAAAGGAATGATCAATGGATCATTATCTATACCTAAAACTAGCATGTTCGCGGTGATTTAATGAATTTAGCATTAAACAGTAAAAAAATTAAAATAATATTTTTTGTTGCGATCACTGAGTCCGAGAACGGCTATTTTTGCCCAAATATAGCAACACCACTGTTCGTTAGAGCTATAGTTAAACTGACTATGCCCACGTGCATGGCAGGTAATACATCAGGTAAAAGTGAAAAAGGAATTAGTTATTTCACCTTTCCAATTCATGATCCTCCACAGACGGTTTAGAAAAACAACGTAATATGTAGCCAACATTTAGAAAAATAATGTTTTAAAGATGACTTGTATAATAGCGCATTGTGACAGACACCAGATACAGCACTGGGCCTTAATCAACAGCCAATACAGCACTGTGACGTCACAAACCATGTTTTGAAATGATAGTTACTCTTAATTAAAAACACTTACCATTGAACAGTATTTAATAATGTCACGTTTAACGTACTTTCAGAAGTTTGAATTTTGAATATGACCAGACTTTTCCTTTAACTCTTGTTGCCAAGCTTTACAAACTGAAATTATTCAAATAACACGATTAAAACATCCTAATATCCTTTAAAGGAGAGATTTCACACATCCTGTATTTAAACTGGTACCTTTAAGTCTAAATATGATGCCTGAATGAATCTTCTCATATAATTGTCCACAAGTGTCTTATCAGCTGGGTTTTAAAGATAAAATGAGATACTTAATCCTACAGCCAGAAACGCGGAGATATTCTAAATTGGTCTGTTCGCACTAATTATCTAAATGTGTGAAGAGCGTATTTATTATAAAATATTGCAAAGTGAGCTTAGAGCAGCTTTCAATAAAGTGTTACAAACAGAACATGTTCTCTAACAATACTGAACAACCACTGATTATCCATCATATCTTGTGTACAACTAAGCTAGTATATTCAAATCACATTGCAGTTTCAATTTTCAAGAGTAATTTGAACTGGTGTTGCTCACAGGTTAAATAGTCACAGTTGAATAACCTAAACTTTAAAGAGCATTTTGTGAGTAATGAGGTCAACGTTTGATCAAAGAAGATGTAGGAGTCTGATTTTATTAACAGTAAAGTACAGAAGCTGATTGATTATTGCCAATAGAAAATAAAGGTTAATACTCTGTTATCAAGTGCTGGAAATTCATTTTGGGTTTTCTATTGTATTGAATATTCATCTTTCTACAAATGATGATGCATTTGATAACTTTGGTAACTTTGATGAATGGGAGAATATCCAAAACAAGAACTTGTGTACAATACCAGTTTAATTACTGTTTCTCTAAATCAAACATGGTTGAAATTACAAATATGGGCTCAAATATAAGCAATACACCAATACTAATATATTATTACAGTACGTGCCTCTCTGCAAAATTCACTTTGATTGAATTACTTTTCTTGCCACTGTAGACCACCAGGCATCGTTCTGTTATATGAATATCTGGCCACTCTGCAGGACACAATTTAGGTTGTTGAGGTTGACTCTCAGGCACAGACATGGTATTTAAACAGAATCCACAAATACTAATGTGTATTTTCCTGCCACCAATATCAATTCCTTCCAATAGCCCAGCAGTTAACTCAAGGCTTCTTCTTTGAGGTTTCATGCCATGAATCGTTCAGTTCATGGCATACAGTTCATTTTCATCCCAAAAAACAAAAACCTAAAATAAATTCAAATTTGTGAGCCATATATTTATTGTATCATTATTATTACTTCAACATAAAAAAAGAGTTAACATGCATTTTTATTTGGAAGCCCAAAGTGAATATAAGATCCATGTTAGTGGGAAGTGTGTGTGTTATTTTCTCTAGGAATGAGCACAGTTGTTCAAAAAAACAACTTTTTTTTATTAGTGGTGAATGCAGTATGATTAAGGGTTTAAGTTTTGGTAAAATAAAAGAGGGATACCTGCCTCCCTGCCTGCCATCCTGCCTGTTTGTCTGTCTTAAGGTTATTAAAGGATTAGAAAGTTGTATTTTCTGTGAGTTCCTAAGAGAATATAACTTTGAGCAGCAATAATATATGCAAAAAAGCACAAAAAAAATATATAAAACTTTGTTTTGGAACATTTCTCCAGGGGAGGCTCTGGTGTGAAAAATGTTTTAGGAAATAATCAAACAAACAAAACTGAACACATTATAGTTAGAAAAACAGCAGTTGAGTATATAAGGATACAGCTTGAGGCAAACTACACCAAGTTCTCTTTTTCCTACAGTTTCCCCTTCACTGGAGAAAGAGGAGAGTCTTTCCTAGATATCATCTCCTCCACACTCACACTTTAATAAGGAGAACCAGAGCTGCTATAGAGTGTCAGAATAGAGGAGAGAGTGAAATAATTTTAATTCTAAAAATACCTCAAACAGCAGAAAACCATACAGCCGATAATTAGGGATCGAATAGGTGTGAAAGAGAAGTGTTAAAGCAATTAAAATAAGAGATTAGAGCTGGATTTGTTGACTGAATTTTTTTCATTGTTTTTATTCTTTCAACATGTTAATTGTAGATTTCAGCAGTATATTTCACAGGGAAAAAAAAGGTTACAACACCACCCGAACTGACAGACACTTTTATGTAACAAGCAACAAAGGAATAGAGCTTGCATTTGATGCATCATTGATAATAACACATGTGCTGAATATGAATTTAGGATTCATTCAGCAGCTCCCTTCTCGCTGTCCTTGAACTATTTTTTAGAGTCTCTTTAAAAATTATTTTTGGTTGAGTATGAGCCTTAAGATGGTCTCTATCCTGACTGCTACACATGTCTTTAATTCTATGCTGTAGGATGCATATTTGAAATGTGCTCGTGAACCTAAAGAAATACATGTGTATGATGGAATTTAGACACAAATCAAATACCTTTTTTTCAGGCACCTCTTCAATCTATAGCATGATGGGTTTATGGGTCTGGCTGAGCAGATAGTCTCAGTGAAAATCAATACCGCCTACAGATGGTTTCATGTACTATTCAGCAATAGCACAAGAATCAGTAATCTATGCTTATACTGACTGTGGGCAAAACCGAAAGAGGGAGGTGGAGAGAAAATGCAAGTAAATAAAGCGTAAAGTGAACAAAATTGAGATGTTTTTCAACAAAAAAATGTATGAATTGGTAGTTCCTTTTTTTATTATTGTTTTTTTTTAAATGTATTTTGTAATGAAAAGTTCTGACTTTAGCAAAAAAAAAAAAAAAAAATTTAGATCCACAATTGATGATCATGTGTTCTTTGTTTAGGTTTGTGACTTCATAGAGCCAAAGGGAAAAACATGCAATAAATGAAATCCTTAACTGAGCTCTACAAAAATGATGTTGTTTATCGTACCTTAAGATTTCTTAAGAAAACGTGTCTATGTAAACTACTTTAAAGATGTTCCTACTATTGCACTGAGCCCGCGTTACATTCATACAGTCATTATCAGACCTCAGTGAAAAACAAGATATAAGTCAATAGTGTTTGTCTTTGGGAAACTAAAGTACAATAAGTAATAAAAAAAATATTTAAAGCAGTTTTGTGACTAAGATTGAAACTTTGCTTAATGATGAATCCTTAGAGGGTTCCCTTTAGAATATATATAGAAAAGCACTTACAAGGAAAAAAAAATATTAAACAATAAACACTCTTAACTCTTAGAAGTTATATTATAAATATTTGTAACAAATATAATATTATACAAGTGGGATCTATTTCTGCCGGCGCAAAATCTGCTAGATGTCAAAGTGCATTTCCAAACAATACAGGTTTTTGTGCAGCCAGAAAATTAATGACCAACTTTAAATATTTAACTGTTTAACTCACTTCCGGAAGGTTGGTATGGACCCCTGCAGTGACCGGCCGGGAGAGGTGCCTGATCCGTGGCTCTGTCCTGAAAGTAAGCTGTCTGTTTCAAAGGCAAACATCCCATCCCGGTCATCAGGAACATCCAGATACTCTCCATCACTCCACATTCCTACTGTGCCGTCCATCGACTGATATCGGATATCGATAGTGACATTGGTCTGAAAATGAAGGGAGAGAAACAATTAGACTAAATGATGAAATGCTGTTAAGCTTAAAGCAGAAATATGGTCTATAATTTTATGAATAATCTGTAATGTGTCTTTTTGGTGACCGACTGATTAAGTAGATTGAAAAATGTGACTGCTTTGAACGCTTTGGATTGAGGACAACAAATCATCCAAAGCTTGACTGTTCTGTGGCTTCTTCCTTATTTTATTTATATTTGCCCAAAACCAACTTCCTGGTTTTTTTTTTTTTTATGATGATTACCTTTTTGATTAGAACATTGATTCTTTACTGTTATTTATAACGATCTGCTATGGTAGAAAATTATTGGTATTTTCATATCTTGATATGACATTTACCCATTTTTCCTGCAAAAGTTGCTAAAATCATATCATATTGTGGTGATATTTGTTATTCACAGTCCTCTTAGGTGGTCACAGGTTTACATCTGAACTCCGTGTCATTGCAAAAATAAAATGTTCTTCTCATGATGTCTTCAGGCACATGCTGACACTGCACTGCATTGGCTCACTACTTCCAATACAAACTATTAAATTAAACAATCAAGTCTGAAAAGAAGTCAGTTTTATGTCACTACTAATTCAAATGCCCTATCATCGGAAGAAGTTTTACAAATACATGAACAATATTATGTTTAGATGTATATAGATAGCATTATGAAATGAAGTATTGTAAATATGGATGCAATCTCATCAAGTTGAAGAGAGAAAAAAAAATCCTTTATGTCATTTACTTCAAATGATCAGATATGTCTTTTTATGTTTTTTATTTTTTTATTATTTTTTTAATATGATAGATAATTGTTTAAACTTAAATTAATTCTTGCTTATTCATATTTTCTTTGCTTTAGACAAACAGCACTTTGGACATAATTTTTTCTAGTTTTAGAGCTGCTAGCATTCCTGCAAACTCTCTAACATACAGTAAAAATGAGATATAAGGCTTATACAGCAGAGAATATCCAAAGTTGGTAATACATTTGAATTCTCAATAAGGGATCCAGCTATATACTGTTGTATTAACAATGTCTTAATATTGGCAACCAAGTTGGCATTGCAATAAATCTTTTCGCCTTGTTTGCAATAAAAACTCTGACTGATGCTTTAATACAGGCATGAAACATAGATGACCCCCGCAGTTTGTCTTTGGCGTGCTCTTGGGTGACATGTTTGGCCACATACTATCCTCTTGACAGTGACCTAAACTTTATAGCAGACCGTCCAATTTATTTCACCGACAAAGACAAATGAGGGGAAACATATAGGAGAAACTCCCTGCCTTTACTCTATCCTGCTCTGCTTCATGGCCTTTTTCTTACAACATCCTCACCAGGCAATCTTTGTGGTCCAACAGGAGTTAGAGTTGTTGATATGGCAACAACACTAGTAGTGCTCCCAGGTAATGTCAGGTTTAGTGTTACCACTCTCTTGCTTCATGGATGCTCAGCAGTGAAATTCTCCTCACGGTGTTTGTGTGTTCAGAGAAACCCTAATGAACACACTGCATGGGTGTGAATATGAGCTTGCATGAACACCCAGGAGCGCCCTCATGCAGCGTTTCATCATCTCAGCAACAACCCACCAGAACTCCTCACTCCTCCAACATAGTCCAGCACACTGCAGTGGTTTTGGATTTTATAGTGTTTGTTTCGCTCATTTCATTCTATAACATTATCCACCCATACATATACACTCTTACATTATATATTCTTAAACCACACATTTCTCTTCACCACTAAGCTACATACTCTATGCATTATTTAAAATCAATAGAATATATGGATCAAAGTTGATGTTAAGCTTCTGAGTTTGCTGATACTGGTTTAAGAGTGCAGCATATATCAGAGTCTTTACCATTTCAATGACACAATAAAATAAAATCAGATTTAATTTCTCTACTTTATGTTTCATATGAGGTTTTCCTCCTTGCTTTGCAAGCCCATTGTTCAAATAAAATTTGAATAAATTAAATAAATAAACAAATACACAATGTCATATGATCTATTTTAAATGAGGAGTTTCAATCTTTTCATGCCTAACAAATTATATCTATCCCCCTTGAACATGTTCATATTTTATTATGTTACAACAACAAACTCATTGTGTTGAAAAATCTATATTTTTTTGTGATTGAAAAAAATTCCAGATGGATTATAGAAAAGTTTTAATATAATGGCTAACTTTGAGTTTTTCAGGTTGGAAAGATTATACAATATTCAAGTTCAATGTGGTTGCTTTTTTTTCTTCCAAAAAAACAAGCAGAGTTGTGTTCTTTAAACAGAATTTTGCAAATGCTCAAATGTATAGGAACTTCTTTAACATGTCTAAAATCTGTTTTGATTTTAGACTTGTTTTATTTGGTATATTTGCCCTGTGTCAACGTTTCAACCAGCTGGAAATTGAGGTGAGGTAGAAGAATTGGATTCTGATACGTATGCCATGCATCAGTATTACAGTAGTCAAACAAACCAACAGCTTAATGCTAGTAGCACCATGCTTAGCAGTTATTATGGTGTTCTTTGAAATATAAACCTTAATCCTAACTACATTTCATTAAACTAAAGTTAAATAATTGAATATTTTTTCTCATATGATCAATAATGTTTCCCCAGGATGCAATTGGTATGTCCATGTAGGAAGGAGCAAGTGTTAGAGGCGCTTGCTTAGCTGTTTGTAGGTAGGAGTACTGTATGTATGTTTAAGAAAATCTATGCAAATTTAAAAAAGCACCCATTTTTCTAACTTTAATTGGGATTGTAAGTTACAGTAGATGCATCCTTTGAAAGCTAAAATTGATATAATATTCATGGCTGTTATGTGTATGATTACTATATTAACCAAAACAAGTAACTGAAAAGGATGTTTTTATGACCGAAGGAGGAATAAATATGCACTGTACCAACACACTGTACAAGAAGACAGCCAACATAATACAGAAACCTTTAGAATATAGTAGCTCAAACACCCTAAACTGAAAGATCTTACCTTTATTGATGTGTTGTTGTCATCAATCAGGGTATCTGTCAGCTCTACATGTCCCTCTTCAGCCACTTTCTGGAGCACCATACAGAAAGTCCCTATCAGTCTGCAGAAACAAAAAAGTCACAAAATGTAAAACAATTAAAGTAATATATTATGACATGTTGGGTTTTATTTTATTCTTTTGATCTATGCTGCCCATCTGTTCACCCGTATAGGCTCTCTGAGTCATTGCAATATCACTCCTGCCTTTTCACTCACAGTAATAAAAACATGGCTAATTGTATTTCCTCCGGCTTGCTCACCAGAGGCATCTGTTCTCCACTGTGTTTCCTTTCTCACAGTATGGAGGTGAATGTGTCATGAACAGAGGCTGCTATGGTGAGATGAGAAACACTGAAAAAGGGCCATGCTGTCACCAGCTCACATATAAAATCTGAAACGTAACAACGTTCAAACACAACCCAACCTCTCCGAGGTGAAGGGTTGTTTCCTTTGCCAACATTTTGACAGTACTATAAGCTTGTATATTTACATGTCCAATTTGGATACAATACATATTGTTAAAAAAATTCCAGCTATGGTTTTTGTAACCGTCTATGTCAGACGACCAAAAATGTAAAATATTATTTAAAAAAGAGGTGAATTTGATACTTTGAAAGACTGCTGCTGTGTTTTGTGAAGCATTGATCACATCGAAGTCATCCAATGCCAAAGACAGTTTAGGTAGATCAAAGGTAAAGAACCTGAACTATATCCAAAACCGTGTTATCTTCTGAACTGAACATCTTGACAGGGTGATACACAGAACATTTAATATTAATTTCTTCTAAAATCCTATACTGGAAACAAATCCAATAATAAACACATTAACAGAAAAATAGATAAATATTGATGTTTTTCTTGGTTTTTAAAGATAAAAGCGTATCCATTGAGATAATTTTTCACCTGTAAAATGCCTGTAAAAGTCATTTTGACATCAAGATGCAGGACTTCAAAGTCTGTTTTATGATGCAGGGAAGGGCCATCTGACATAAGAGATCTTTGGTCTCTTCAGAATGATAATAACGGTCTCGCCTTATTACAGATAATAATGGATGTGTTGAAACACCAATTCTGATTGTTTTGATCAGGTTTCACCTAATCCTTAAGATTCTTTAAGGATTATTTTATTCAGCTGTGTGTCCTCAAAAGCAAACAATTTAACCAGACCCATGACTTCAAATTGTGTCTTGCATAGTGTCTGAAAAAATCTATAAAAATTAAAACAAACAATGATGTAAGGAGTCTTAATAGTTAACATTTTAAATAATATGAGAACGACTTAGTGCCTTCCAACAAATATGTATATATCCTAAATCACTTTATATTTTGTCACATTAAAATTAAACCTCAATTTCATTCTAACTTAGAAATTTACTTAGATCTGGACCATGGCTGTCTTACTCCAGTCTTTAAAGCTGGTGTCCATATTATCGATATTTCCCTTCCTGACATAGCATATTCAAAAGGCTGGATGATATCTTAATATTACTGAGTTCTTTAGTGGCCGGGTATTATTATTTAAATTAAGGTGTGAAACAAAGAAACAGCTAAAACATGCAGCATATAACTGGTAATGTTCATCACTGATCTAAACTATATACTGTACCACTGGTCACATGTTTAGCCTTATTATCCTGCTGGAAGTTGAAGTTCCACCTCAACCTGAAATCTAAAGGAGTCTCTAACAGGATGTACTCCTGTGCTATCTTTAGCTCAGTCCACATTTCCATTGACTCTGCCCCTGCAGATGAAAAACAGCACCACAAGACAAGGCTACCATCATCATGTTTTATGGTGGAGATGGTACAGTATATTCACAGTAATACACTGCTAGTTCCAGCCACAATGGTTTACAAGGAGCCGAAGATTTTTTTTTTCATTTTCTCATCTGACAAAAAGCCCTTTTTTCACATATTTGCTGTCTCCTTTACATGGCATTTTAAATATTTTTCCTTCAAAAAGTCTTTCCTTTAGATCTACAGCTCCTCCAGATGAACCATGAGCATGTTGGCTTCTCCTTTTCTCTACCTGCTTAAGTAAGAAGATAGCCAAGTCTCTTACGGATTGCAGCGTTACCAAAGAGTACTCTCTATTTTGAAATTATGAATTTAGTGGTGTGGTGGTTTCTCTAGAGCTAGACTGTGTCTTAAAACTTGTCTGCTTCATTTCCATTTGGTCTTATTTACTGTTATCTGCCCTTTAGGCATTGAACAGATGTTTAATTGTTGAGACAAGATTTCTAAGTTTCTATATAATACTTTTATTTTAGCCTTTTAAAGTCCCGTTGTGCTCGATTTAGACAAATGAATAGCATTAAAAAAGTTATATTCTCAAACAAGTGGATTTTCATGATATATGCTCTTTAAAAATGAACACTTTTGCAGGCAGTGCATTGTAAAACTTTTACAGAGTATTCACAATTAGCAGGGTAAATAAATATTTTGTGAAAATACTGACTATGTTCTTCTCTTTAAAATGTATGCAAATACATAAAGCAATAAAAATAATTTGATAAAATACTGAATGCAGGCCACTGCTGCCCAAGGACTCTTCACTGCTCCATGAGATTGGGAGAAACTCTGTACAGGCCCATTCAAGCATCCAATTAGAGCTGGTGAATAATTTAAAGAGTTTACTTCATAACAGTGCATTGTAGGCAGAGCAATGAGTCACAGAAAAAAGTAGCAAAGTCACAATATAGGTCATTTCCTATATGACATTTGTTAACACCCATGTCACGGTTATTTATTTCATAGCACTTAAACAACAATAAAATGGCTCAACAAAGCAATCATTACGAGCAAACACCACAGGTGTTTAGTAGGCAGCTTACAGAGAAATGTTATTTTTCAACAAAGCTATTCATCCACTACCCAAACATACACATACACTGATAATCTGCTGTGTTATCTTGGTGAAACGTGTGCTGTAACAGCATCATACCATCTTGACATCTAGGCGAGAGTAACAAAAGCATACACTAACATCTGTAATTGAATATGAAAAACATAAAATACTTTCTAATTACTTTATAAGGAAAGACTAACACAACCAAGATAGGCATCCTATTATCAGAAGGTAAATAAGGCTGTTATTATTCCCTGTCCTCTCCCTGCATTAATCCCTCTCTACCCGGCTGTTGTTCCAAGCCCTTCTATATCATGACTATGAATTCAATGGACATGGATGTAAAGTCTAACGAGAATAAGCAAAAGCTCAGAAGGCAATGATGAGCTACATTTTATTTTCATACTAGGATTCACTTTAGGTCAGAGTTTTTTTTTTTGGTTTTTTTTGTAAAGGGATTCCCCTTAGGTGCAGGCAGGTGAGTTACTGTCAGACTCCCCAATGCATACATTTCCAGGGATGGCTGATGTGACTAAAGGTAAAGTTGTGGAAGATACTAATAGCTTTGGGGAGAAAAGTTTTTCTTGAAGTTCAACTTTGATCCCTATCAAAGTGAGTGCAAACCCACCTCTGTTTAAACAACCACCTCCCTCATCAGACAGGACTAATCAATACATTCGGGTCTCCACTGTCATTTCCTTTCAAGCATTGTGACCAGTGTACAAGTGGTGAATAATTGAATTGAGTGGAGCCTGTCATGTTCTCCCTCACTTTTTACCATTTCAAAAGGTCCTATTCATTATTGACTAACAATTTACTTTCCTCTTCTCTATTCAGAATTTCAAAGCCCATCTTTCTATTTTGTATCTTATTTTTTTGGGATTATGGTATTTTTTCTAATCAAATCACAACATTCTAAAGCACGGACCCTGATAAGAACTACTTTACAAGTGACATGATAATGAAATTTATTTTAAAACCAAGTGGAGAAACAATCACATTTTAAATTTATTGTTCAAAGATACATCTATTGGATGACAAAGCAAACAATAAAATAGAAAATATATTGGTTCCTGATGACAAAAAGGTTTATTAGACAGTTTTTGATGGGTAAATTCCCCAAAATCTGTTTTCCAGATTCCCCTGGTTCAGCTGTTTTTACTGCTGTGATGCCTGCAGGCAGAGTGCTGCTCTAACTTAGAAAGAGCCAAGTAGCATCACAGCAAAGATTCAAAAGAAACATGGAAAAAAATGGTGTGACCCAGATTTTTTTTCATTCAATTCCTTTTAATAGGGGGTTCTTTTTAAAGCCATCTAACAGAAGAACATTAAAGAAGTTTTAGCACTGATGCCCCATACTGCTTTCATAGCTTTCATTATGTAGGGAAATGTCCTTATTACAGTAAATCTTTCCTTATTACAGTAAATCTAAAACATTAGTTATAATAATTAAAATAATCTTGGAATGGAAGCATATGAAAGATTGCTTGCAAAATATTTTTTTTAATCATACATCATCCTATTTGAATAGACTTAGACCTAAACTTTACTGTCATTTTGTATGCACAGAGTGTATTCAAAATGAAAAAAAATTCTATGCAAACAGCTTACAACAGTGAAATGAGATTGCGGTTGGAATAAGATAACATTAAAATATCAAGTGCAGCAGTGATCAGATTGTGACAATATAGGAGAAAAAAACAGCTTAAAATAGTATCGCAAAAAGGCATTTATATGAAAACGTTCAGTGTAGTGCAAAATAATATGGTGCAAATGCAGTAGAACGTTGAATATATATATATATATATATATATATATATATATATATATATATATATATATATATATATATATATATATATATATATATATGTATATACCGCTAACCACTAACTCTGTCTTTGTGCAAGGGGGAACTGGAGGAGCACTTCCAGAGGCCTACAAAATGACCTCCAGCAGACCACAAATGTGTATGTGTTTGCACAAAGGTTTAGAAACTGACTCGATCAGGATAGTATGAGGGCCCGACGTCCACAGATGTGTGTTGTGCTCATAGCCCAGCACCATTCTGGACACTTGGCAGTCATATAGGGAGATCATACGGGTATGTGGAGGTCACACACAACACTGAACCTCATTTTGACCTGTTTTAAGTACATTAAATCAAAGTTGGATCAGAGTTGGATTCATTTTGTGTGTGATTCCAAATTCAGG